ATTAACTCTTCCGCTTTGAAATTTATTTTTGAGCCTTAAAGCATCAAACGTGGAGGTTGTTCTTTTGTATCGCCCTGGTCGTGGGTAATCCGAGGTGCAAAAGCGATTGGACTCTGTTCAGCGCATCGGAAAACAGTTACTGGCACATTAAATGGTAGAAACGCATGCAGAAACGTGTTCACCTGGTATATCACTTACTAATTTGGGTAATAATTAGAAACAAACGTGGATGATTATTTGAAGCATTGATGAGTTCAAAAATCGTGTAAAGGCTACTTTACTAAAGAAAGGACATTACTCTGGATTACATAAACGACAAAACGGTTTGGCTTTAGAAACTATAATAAAAGTAACGATTTCAAGAGTCAAATAAAGTTAATTTTTTTTTTGTTTTGAAAAGGGTTGTTAAGTTTTATAAGGAATGAAAAAATAAATGCAAAGTAGGCTATATTACAATAATGAATCTTCAACTAATTCAACTTCGAAAATCAGGTAAATTCATAAGGTAAACTAGGTCCTTCCAAAGATATGTTTAGAAGGTCTCAACATGGAGCATGTCAAAAAGCCAAAATCAACCAACAAATTCAATTAAAAGTTTGTTGCGCCTAATCCAAACTGGGAGCATCAGATAGAGGCCGATTAATTATTATTACGTTAATTTACAAAGGAACATCCGACAAACAAGGCCCTAACAGATAGACAAAGCTTCAATGTAACCAGCAATCGCTCATTCAAGCGACTCGGTAAACTGGGAGTCGGAAAACTATCTTTCCCGTTTCTCCGCTTCGTAGGAATATATCTGTCTTTGTCTGCTAGGGGAAATGCGAGAGCAGCTATTTGTTTCTTCAGTGGAGCGGCGACGAAAAAATTAGGTTGGACAAACTGTTGAAGCGGTCGAGGTGTCTATATTCCACTCGGTGAGAATTCTTCTCTTAAAATCGTTCCGCACAGAGCGTCGCTTGGTAGAGCTTGAGTGAGGCAATAATTTTCTCTTCAATTCCTATGGAGACATTGTTCGTTCGATCTGCGTATTATTGGCAGATGCTTAAAGGATTTTCGAGAATGGAAAAGATATCGGAGCGTTTTGGGACTTTTCTCTTTCGTTGCACTGGATAATTTTATAATAATTTTATATTTGTAAGGGTTTTAATAAAAGCATATAGAACCAAAGCATTTTTCTTTAAATGTACTACAAAATCGTCCTCAAAAGGGTTACTTAGTCAATTTAACATAAGACCTAAAATAAAGACTTGATATAGCAAGGATATATATGTATATAATTGGTTATCAACTTCTGGCTCTTGTAAGAAGGTTTCGTTAAATTTTCAATTTAAACAATTACTACTCGAGAAATAATTTTGCAGATATTGAAGCAGATCGCAGAAACTGGAATAAAGACGTGGGAATTTAAGGACGAACGTGGGAAGGAAATTATTGGTATCAAATAAAATGAGCGGACAATAAATGTATAATATTCGTTTCGAATTGCTTGTATATAAGAGTGAGAATTATACTTTACAGTAGCAAAAAATGTTGGGCTTATAAAATAATCCCATTCCTTCCAATCACGACTTTAATTACTCAGCTGTGTGCCTAAGTTTTCAAGTTCCAATTTCTCAATTAGCCTACTAACAAAATGCATCGGAACAAGTCAAGAAACTCGCCTCACAAAGTTTTGCAAACAAATGTGAACGAACTTTGAAACAAAATACGTTACAGGTTTCAGGAAGCCGTAGCGCTGCCTGGCGAACAGTGAGCCGAGTCCGACGACAAGTCGCTAGACGGTTTGCCTCACGAGCTAGGGCGATCGATCAAAATGTATCACAATGAAATATTTTATGACAGCGATAAAATGAAGAATATAAGCGAAAGTAAACCCATCGATTCACGTCTGAAATATAGACAAGATACAATAAAGCCCTAATAAATATTAACCACACCATATAAGTATTCGTATCAAAAAATTACAAAAATAAACATCAGCAAAATTAAAGAAAATAAGTAGGTACGTTACGCGTGACAATAGTTGTGTCTGTGGGATACAAAACAATGTTGTATCATTGAACGTGTTTTGTCTGATTCGAAAGAAACAAGCATTAACTATTTTAATTTCATCTGTGCAACTCTACGTGTAAACAACAGCGATGTTTTTGTACCTTTCTGAATGTATTGCGAATATCAATGATGGTTTCGGTGCAGTTTCAAAGTTTCCGGGGAGTTATAAATTTGAAATCAACGTAGACAACCATTGTCAAACAAAAATAGACACCATTGTCGGCGCCAGACGCGCCGGCGCCGCCGCCATCGTCGTGCCGCCGCTGAGGCGCGAACCGTGAAACCCCTGCATTCCTATATCCTTATCTAACCAGTATATTATGAGCTTTTTAGAACATATTTCTCTTTGATTTTATAAGGATTGGTTGGTTATCAATACTACTCTCAGAAACATTATTTTTTTAATATGACAAATAAATAGCTGTGGATATAATAGTCTATTAAGAAAAAATATATTTTTGCAGCAAAATTAAGTTCGGGAAATAAATAATTTTTGTTTATTTCAATAATAATTCTTTACTTTTTTTACACGATTCTTAGAATTAAATGAATTAACAAGAAATCTTTTTAACAATTTCGAAGGTGAACTCTATGGGATAGAATACAGCGAGATTTTCACATCTGAAAGCACAATTTCATTCGATTTGCATACAGTGTTGAACGAGGTAAGTTAACCATAGTTAACTATTATAGGTATTGTGGCAGCTATAGTTAACCGCATGAATGATTGCAGCCACGCTATGTGAGCAAAGGGTCTTGTTTACAATCCCCTTTGCCCGTGCACGAATTCACATCAAAGCGATGGTAAATCAACACTGACTTGTGCTAGTGCGGACAGGATAGCTTGGATTACATTTTAGTACAAATATTATTTTATTTCGACATTTCTGCGAAAATCACTGCTAGATTTGCATGAATGCATCTTCGGAGTCTTGACAATGTTTTTAAGTAAGATTATATTGACAAATGTACGCTTATGTTGCTAACTATATTTATTATGGCACTTTTAAAGGGTAGAGTTTTGACGACCTCTGAGATCGAGTGGCTTGCATACCGGGGGTCGATTCCCGGCCGGATCAAAATGAAGTATGTAGAAAAAACTAACTTTTGTATGTTATCTCGACTATGGGTGTTTGTGGTGCCGTCGTTGTTTCCAATTGCCACAACACAAGTGCTTTAGTTACTTGCTTTAGTTACCAGCCCGTTACACCAAGTACCAAGTACTTGCTATGGGATCAGAGCAACGTATATGATGTTGTCTAGTTATTATTAAGCTTTTAAGGGAAGTAAGTAGTGGAATAATTATCGCTACCTTTATAGCGTTTATTTTTTGTTTTGGCATGGTATATTACGAGGATCAAATGTCTTAATCGTTCTGTAAGTAATAGGTAAAGGACCTTAAGTCCATATTTTAGAATTTAAGATGTTTTTACATACATTGCTTTAACAACGACGCAATGGTAAAAGACATTAAGTTTTATCGTCGTTTGTTTTTTATTTAAACTCTATGACCATATTTTATTTGACCTTTTTATAAAACGCTCCTACAGCATTTATTTCAATAACTTTAACATGTAAGTTTAAATTAAGGCTTGGTTCACAAAAATGTAAGTTGGAACAAATGTGCCCTTGCCATTAAGCCTGTTTGCTAACGATAGCATTCGTCCATTGTTGTTTAGAAAGGCAAATTTTCAACTTGGCTTGGCACGTAAAGCGCAATGGATTGTAGATAATTTGCCAAAGTGTTTTTATTTTCTTCATTGTTTAGCATCTGCTTAAGCTTCGAAAATATGTACGTGTTTGTAAGGCTTTATAATGAATACATTATATTAGGAGTTGATGATTTTGTATTTTATTGTTATTAAAATTGTAGAAAATGATTTATTTCATCGTAAAAATGTGGCAAATATTTTCTTTAGAAGCTGTGTACAATCACTGAAAAGGTAGAGACATAGACCTAAAAATGTCATTTTAGTTAGTAAGCATAGTAAGAGGAAAATTCCTGAGGCGACGACAAGGGGTGCAATGAAGCCTAGGCTAAAACAACCTATTTATAAAGCTGTCCGTAAACGAGGGAGCGGCTGAAAGCGTTGGAGCGACATCTACTCTATTTGTCTCAGCTAACTCTACGCTGACCACTTCTCGGCACCCTTGTAAATTGCAGTAACGATTTTATCACTTTTGTCATAGAAAGGCTGCCAGTTTTTTGTACCAATTTTCAGGGTTTCAAACATACTATTATTCACTGGTGATTAATAAAACGTATTAATTTGATTACATTTGCAATAAAATTGATATCAATTTTATTAAAACTTGATGCAATTTAATTGTTTGCTCTACAGCTTTCGAAATTTAATTGAAAGGACCAAAGCAATTACTCGGTTTACATTAGAAGAGCAGAATATAACTTATTCAAAATGTTCAGCAGACCTATTTCAAATATCGAGACGCTTGCAGAAAATAAGTGATCTTGCTCGAAAGTAACAGGGCGCCGCGTGGCCCCTAGAGCTGCCGTTGACATATCTAACAATATCACCTAAAATAAACCTTCACTTATTGAAAATAAAGGTTAAACTTACATCGCAAGGTGAGAGCATTATAATCTTTTGTTCCTCAACTTCTGTCGTCACGAGGAAAATTTCCTTTTATTGTGTTAGCGAATGCTTATTGTATATCCGAAGGTTTTCCCCATTGTAACGGCTACACAGCCGCGCCTCTTTAGCATTAGTTCACAAATTGTACAATGACCAATCGCTATACGATCGACGATCCATTAACTCTTTAAAGGAAATTCTAGAGTTGTAGTCTCAATCGTTACGTTATTTATCGAACGTCGCGGATGCGAGCTGAGTTTGATCAAAGTTGTGAAGAGCTTCTATTTCATACAACAGTTTAATAAGATAATTATATATCATTTGTGACAAGGAAAAAAATAAAAAATATACCTCTTCCTCAGTGGTGGCAGTATTGACAGAATCCATGCTTTGACAGAGTGCAAGCTCCATGTTCTTATGCTGAGGGGAAATGGCCCGCGGCGAAGGCTGCTGCGATGGCACCAGTGTGGCTTGTGTCGCTCCGGTTGCCTGCTGCGTACCCGCACCGCCCGTTGCCGCAGGACTCTGCGCTGCTTGCAGGCTTTGGGCTGCTTGCAGGTTTTGTGCCGCTTGGAGGCTCTGCACTGCCTGCAGGTTCTGTTGTGCTTGCAGACTTTGCTGCGCCTGCAGATTCTGCAACGACTGGTGGGCCAGGTTCAACTGGTGCTGCTGCACGATACTCTGCTGCACTATACTTTGCTGCACTTTGATGTGTTGGTGTACGGCAAGCTGATGGATAGGATGAAGGGGTGCCGAGGGAGTGGGGTACGGGGGGGAGAGCCGCTGACGCTTCACTTGCGCACTCTGAAGCGCTTCGTGCAGCCTCTTCACCGGTATCGGGCTCTGGCCGAGGTTATCCACGGCTGTGGCGGGGCGTGCCGGCCGAGTCGCGTGACTCCGGCGAGCACCGACTGTTCAGGCGACAGCGAAGATCCGCGCGCGGCGCGACGCGGTACCGATACTCGCGTATCGAGAACAGCGCTTCACTACGCTCGCTGTATTTTCTGTACTAATTGACTTCGTGATTTAGACTGATAAAATGGTTACGCGCCTATAGTAAAGTTTGTAAGTTAAGCGCCAGAGCACTCTTGCTTTCGTCCGTGTGAATTGATCATCTGCTGTAAACCACACCTGGAAAGAAAAAAATACATGTTAATAATTTTAACCATTAAACATAAGAAAAATAAGAAGACAGCCAGACCACAGTATTTTCTACTCATAACATAGCATTTCCACGGTTTAATGAGAAAACTTTTTTTATAATATCAAGTGATGGGACGAACAAGTCGTGCGCCTGGCGGTACAGTACAGGGTACAGTACCACTCGGTGCTTGAAATCACAAAGATGCGCCCGTCACCCTGATACATAAGTTGACAAGTTCCATGTCCCTATAATTTCACCACTTAAGCACTAAAACCTACTCTTAGTACAGAGACAAATCTAAATGGAACAACCAGTAACAACACGTAAAATCTTTTTATGCATAGGATACAAAAGCATCGAAAGTTTACGTGTTAACATTAACAAAAAGCTAAAAAAAGAACAAAAAATAAGCAGAATATACGAACAAGTTAAAAAGTCCTTGAAATCATAATACCTATGTTAAAAGAAACATTCCCATAGAGGTAGTCGATCGACTTAAAACCGTTAAAAAAATTACGGGTTAAGAGCCTTCAGCTCGCCCTTTCATCCGGTGGCGCAGTCAACGTCATCAACGACCAACTGCAAAGTGTCCTTCAGAAAAAAAAAATCAGTGAAACTATTCATGCGACTGTCACAGCGGGTATGGTTTACTTTATTTCTAAGACGTATAGTGATAAATGCGCAAAGTATGTAGTACCTTTGAAGTAATATACATACTCTATGACTGATCTATAAAAAGAGCATGTGTGTGTGTAGAAACAGCGATATTAGTGTTTATTTTAAACGTCAAAGAATGCCGATTGCACTCGTGTGGGTGGAGGTCCGTCGTTTAAATTGTTAGTCACCGCGATAAACAACTAGAATCATCTAAATTAAAGACTAGACGGATGATATCAGTGGCCTGCTTAGCTAAAATGACCGCGAATTGAAGTTATTGCCCCCCGTAAATATATAGAAACAGTAAAACAATCGTCAAGAAAATTATGACAGCTATAATTGTCTTGGATGTAGCCGGATGCGTGCGCTAAAATATATTTTTTACTTTTAATCGTACACTAAAACCCAACGATATAAATTGAGGATAGCTTATATTATTTTACAGATAAAACTGATTTTTCCATACGTTGTTAACAATTTCAGCTAATGTTTGTTTCATAAGTAAAACTTCGTCGCATTAGGAAAAATTTAGACATCAATGAAGAATTACCAAGAATTATAAAACATCAAATTATATTGTATTCAAGCGCTTCAATTCAAAATACAATCAGAGGCTCGAGTTTAAACAAAAATAATCACTTTAACTACGCATGAGGAGTTTCAAGGCCACATCTTTTTGCTCCATAGCGTGACTAAGTATTGAACAAAAAAAATTAGAGTTACTTTACTGACCGTCTGTACTTTAGAGGCAAGAGTTACAAATGAAGATATATCATATTATGTACATATAACCATTATATTACGAAGGTTATTAGAATGTCTCGTTTGTTTCCTATTTTGACTTGTGAATGATAAATTGTCAAGTGAATAAGATAACCTTTCCACAGAGCAACAAAAACATTACAAATGAATACTGAAAGATGAGATTGAAATTTAGTATAAGACCTAGTTGTGCACAACAAGTTGGTAATTGCTATTCAAAAAGAAAGATGTTAACAAAATATTTGCTTATCTTTTTCAACCGCTATCTACCCTGAGTGTAGGTATCTGCCAATGCACGCCATTCCTAGCGGTATTGTGCCTTCCTCATCCAATTTTTCCCCACCACTTTGACAAGATCGTCAGTCCAGCGCAACGATTGGTTACCTAAGCTTATGTACTCTTCCCTGGGTTTCCAGTCAAACACCTTTCTACCCCAACTTTAAATTTTTTTTATAATACCAAGTGACGGGACGAACAAGTCGGGGACCTAGTGGTAAGCCACACGCCTGTCCATAGCAGTTGCCACTCAGAACCTTGCAATGCAAAGATCTGAGGGATACTGCACCTGTCACCTTGAGACATAAGTTGACAAGTTCCATGTGCCTGTAATTTCACAAGCACCCTTACTCTTTAAAACCGGAACGCAATAACGCTCACATGCTGCTGCGGCAGAAATAGGTAAGGTCGGAGTACTGCCCCGGGGAGCTCTTTCAGAAAGAGCTCTACTGCTACTAATATATACATCGGGAAACTAAAACCCACTACGCATATAAAAAGAGTGACGAGTTGGAAGTATCGCATAAGTAATCTCGTCGGGTTTACAGGTAAGAAAATCGACATTCAAGTGTCAACTTCAAAGTGCCTTCAAACTAACCTACAGAAATATATACTTAGACATATATTGCAATAGTAACACAGTGCAAATCTCCAGTGTCACACCAAAGTAATGGTTTGAAAAATTGTTGCTGACTTCCAAACATGGAACATGACGATGTGGAATCGTAATCACGCAACTCATAATATAGAGCATGTTGTGCCTATTTTTAAATAAGTAGTAATAAATGCTCACAAACGTAAATTAATAATTAACTTAACCAAAATGTGAATACTCAACTACCGAAAAGTTTTGAAAATGAAAACCATGAAAATGAAATGTTGAAAGTTCCGAAAAATCTTAGCGTAATACTACTTCTAACACCATAATTTATATTTTACCGAAAGCTATTTAATTGTCAGCCATTTTCATCGTAAATCAGCTATTATACATTCAAAAGCGAACTTATGCCTTTGATAAACTTTGGTAATTAATAAACTATTCCATCATACGGAAATTCTATTATGAGTAACAACATAGGAACTCATAAGAAAGATCAAAATTTACTTATTTATTTATTTATTTATTTTATTTATTTATACATTTTAGGAAAATTCACGGACAAATAATACAATTATAGTAAACTTAAATATGAGTAACCCAATGCCATTTACGAATTTCCACCTTGTAATCAATCATTATACATAATTATTTATATATTTAAAAAATATACTTAAAATTATATAATTTGACAGTAAGTGGATGAGGGTGGTTGAAAATGAGTAGTGGTTAGGGAAATATATTTCTGACCAGAAAAACGTAATGGTTTTTTTTCGTAGAAATGTAATTTGAACAAACTCTTGACTGTTTATTAAATATGATTAATTTTGTCGGTATATTCCGTGTTTTTCAGTCTAATATTAACGCAGCTTCGTTACTATTACAGTTAGCCTTAGTTCGCTGCAATGTCATTTGTTTTTCGGAACCTTAATTATTTCCTTTTTTAAACGACTTCAAAAAAGGAGGATGTTCGCAATTCGACTGTATGTTTTTGTGTATGTTATGTGATTAATTCGACATTTGTGAACCGATTTCGATTATGTTTTGTACGAAAGGGGGTAGCTTAATAGTGGTCCTATTCAAATTTGAACAAAATATTCTGCCTCTAAGTGGCTTTTAAATTAGGGGCTGAAGCCGGTTTATTGGATTTCATACACTTTCCGATAACCGATTTCAATAAGACTTGGCAAATAGATGTAACGAACACAGCGAAATCGGATAAGCAAACTTTTGAGATCGGTTTTTATTATAAAAAAAGTTATAATTATATCATGACATTTCGTACAATTTTAAATATGTTTCAAACAGTATATCGCGTTCAGACGCTCATGCATTGTTGTATCAGAATAACGTCAACGCTTCGGCGTCCGTAAAGCTGCAAACTGTGCAAACTTCGTCAAGTGTTGGTCTTAGTACAACGCAAAGAAAACTACAATATTTCCGACAACGCTGAATACTTTAATCCTGTCTGTATTTATACTGTGGCTGTGCTCGTAAATAAGTCCCAACTCCTCCACTTTCCATTTGTTATAACTACTAAGTCCCGGCCAGAGCCCGGACTTCGACGGCTTTACTATCGGCTCTAAATCCAGGATGAACCCGATGGAGATTTGAAGAAGGTGGCTGAAGTACTTGTGAAAAACCGGAACGTGTTGACTTTATCGCTGCTTACTTTTTAACAGATCAAATCCGTCAAAAAGGTTAAACATTAAACACGAAAAAAAGTGTTTATGTTAAGTTGTAAGTTGAAATTGTCCCTTATTTGGGACAATACACAGTTTTTTAATGAAATGCTCAAAAATATTTGAGTTCTTGGCCACAATAGTATGGTGCATACCATCGATACGATAAGAAGATGCTCATTTTATAAACAACGCACATTCACATAAATTAGATGAACCATGTATTTTAATGAACAATTTTATTTTCTTCTAGCTATTTCTTCTAGAAATTTTATTTTCTTCTAGCTATTTTTACATGCGAAAGCTACAAGAAAAAAATCTTAGTTATACTTCCACTAGTTGATGTCAATGGGTACGCTTTTCTTATTACCAAACACACTTTCACACACATTTTCGTCTCAGGACATCATTGTCCAAGGACCATTTTGCTATTTGTTGCCTCACTACATTTAAGCTAGCTGTTTATATTATACCTATTCAAAATTAAAATTATTATTTACCCTGATGGGGAAATGTTGTGAAATATATGCATTTATCTAAACTATACTCGTATGGATTATTTGCAGAATGATAATTGAGGGCAAGGTAGAAAGGAAAAGAAAGAGAGGAAGACCAAGCGTTTGCTGAATGGCGTTTAGTGAACCAATAAAGAAGAAAATCAAAGTGAGCAGCTATAAGGAGGTCAAGGAGCTGGTTATTAATTGTGAGGAGTTTGCAAGGTTAAACCAACAAGAGCCTGGGTCTTAAATAGGATGATGATAATGGATGATTTTATCTTGATGTTGAATTTTCCTTTTTGATAGGCAACATCGTTTTATAACTAAGTTCAATTTCGGTTTTTATGTTTTCGCCATTGCTACACATTGGAAATGAGGCTATTTTTTCCGATCTAAATCGCATACATAAATTGCATACACATTAACTGCCTCCGTAGCCGAACGGTTACCATGTACTGCTACGCAGAGATCGCAGGTTCGATTCCCGGGCCGGGAGGAATATTTGTATGGCCTAC